GAAAATTCCTTGTCAGAGACACTATGAGTGGAAAGAGTAAGTAAGTAAAGGGTTAATAGCATGCTCTGTTTTTTAGCATTGTGCTTAAGTAGCCTTTACGTTAATGTCACAGCATTTAATCCAGACTTGAGACATATTTTGGAAGGGTTAAAGAAATGTTACCAGGTCTGACCTGGTAAATTTGTGGCCTTGTGGAACTCTGGGGCTTATTCAAACATGACGACAGCATGTTAAATTACCTATGCATTCATACAATGAGGCACACGTCTGAAAGGGGGCTATCCAAAGCGACAGGAGACAGCATGGACAGAGAAAAGCAAAGAGAGCAATTTTCCTGCTGCCTCTCTACTTTTCAGTTAAAGTGGCAATAAAGCCTTTAAATGTTTTCTATTCTCTGATCCTCCCTGCTATCTCTCGGGCCTGCATCAGATATCCTGACATACCATCAGTGGGTGAGAGGCTGGTCCCAGCAGCATTTTAAACTCAGCTCTATTCAGCTGCCTGATTGATGGCTGCAAACACACCGCAGCTCTGATAGCACCAGTCCAATTAAGCCCACCACTGTAATCATGAATGAGAAAACAGAGACAGGTGGCAAAGTAAGACAAGAATATAAAATAACAAATAAGATCAAAAATTCATGGCGAATGCTTTTTCTTTTAAGCGAAACAGTTATGTCTTACAGGGGCATCACTCTTATGCTGCTCAAAAGTCCTTCAGATGGCGACACGACGGCTAAACGACAGCACCATTACCCAAACGATGAAAGAGATAGAAGGACTTGTATAAAGTGTGCAATACATTTTTCTCACTATTATAGAGCAAAAAGAGAGCAGGCTGAGAGAGGAAAAAGGTGATGGAAAGGAAGAAATGAAGAGAAAGTGAAGTAGGAAGGCAAGAAAGGGAATATAATAGGAGGGACATGGAGAGGAGAAGGAGAGTGAATGAGAGAGGAGGGGAGATAAGATGGGTAGAGAGAATAATAAAGGCAGGCAGGGAATAAGAGAGGGAATAAAAAGCCAATGAAAAAGACAAGATTTTCAAAGAATTGAACAGGAAATGAGCAACGACACTAGTTGTTTCTGTCCTCCTTTGTCTCTCTTCAGAAGGATATGAGCAGAGCAGATGAACCAGGCTGTGAAGCCATCTAATCCATCAGACAGCTCCTCATCTTCTGTGTGAAGGAGGTAGTGGAACCTGAGCCAAAGGTCTTATTATCAACCATTACTTTCTTACACATACTCCCTTATGAAACATCTTGTTGCCTTGATGGATATTGCTGCTCTGGGTGTGATAAAGGTGCAGAGTTTATCTATTTCTCTTACCCGGCTGACCCTTTACACACACTCCAAAACCAGCTCTCTGGGCCTCATAATATAATACACAACAGACTCTATAAATTCCAAAAACAGACTCCATATCTAGATTCAGAGCGTTCCACTTTCTGCCCTCATGCCATGCTCTTATCAGACCCACGGTCTTATGCTGAGAGCCAGTATCATCCATCTAAATCATGAGCTGGCGGCTTCGTACAGTGTGTGCCTGTGGGTGGAGGTTACGTGATTCCAATGCTGTATTCCTGCATCAGAACAAAAAACGCTGGCACTTCTAGAACAGCAGACATACAGACATAGTCTGGAGTGTTTATTGTGTGTTCCCGCAGGTTGTAAAAACATTATGCTGCACCACGTGCTAGATGTTTATCTAGATTGTCTCCTGCGTCTTCTGATGATACCATCACTGCTGCCAACTACACTATTATACACCCCGTCACATCTCTTCTGTAACAGTGTGTGTGAAAAATCATGTGTGTGGAAGATAATGATTAGTAAAAGACTTGTGAAGGACATTCAAATACCTACTTAAACTATTAACCTAGAAAATGTAAATCCAATACAAATCTAATATAATTAATTAATATGTAATAATAATAATAATAATAATAATAATAATAATAATAATAATAATAATATTTTAGGCTATTCTAGACTATAGATATTTTTATAGAAATTTTTAATTTTTGCAGCGTTAATAAAGTTATTTGAAAAAGAAAATAAAGGTGAACAGTAAAGTTATTGCCCAAACTGTCAGTTGTAAACATTCATCCTGGTTTACAGAGCAAAAAAAAAAGCGTTATCAAGGCTGATAGAACAGTCAGTTGAAAACAAATACTAAGTTGCAATAAAGTTTAACTTTTATCACAAGCCTAGAAGAGAATCAGGATTAATTGTCTGTCCATAGACCTACAACACTTGGCACACTAGTGATAGATGTATCAGTAAATTTGTCTCAACATGACAAATTCAAGTTGGTGTAAAGTGTTCAATGATGCTTAAAACCAGAGGATGGCGCAGATAACGTGCTCCTGTGGAGGGACTGACTCAGCGGCCAGAGGATGACTGATCACTTCACCCTGCCAGGATTCAGTCTCACTGCATCATACAAAGGGATACATACAGTCCAACATACAAACACAAACAATTACTTGTCATTACAGGCACATACACTCAAAGCACGTAAATGCTGCGTACACACTCCTGCACGCCCATAGTAAAATCTTCTTAGCCGGCTCCCTGGTCTCCTCCAGGTGACTGAGGTAGCGCTTCAACAAGCCCCTATAAAACGCTCATCAATCACACAGGCTAATCTCAGGTTCTCGCTGACACTTTCATTGTGCAGGCCTTTTCTATACGGCTGCCTCCACATAATGCCCCACTCTGCCTGCTTTGACAGGCCAGCAGCCTTGCAGCTCCCTGCCATGAGAGCCATTCTCAAGAGGCACGCCTTTGAAGTGAAGCACCGGTGGAGCCAGGGCTAATCTGGACATCTGGAGGCCTGGTGGCTGAAGCAGGACAGAGGCAAAAGACTCAGCATATAGGTGACCTTGGCTCAGCTTTGTGGGAGGAAAAAGCCATTTCACCAGTTCTATGGATTGAAAATCCAATAGAAAAATGCTCCAGTTTTCAAACTTAAAACTGCTATAACACGGAAAGTCCAGCAAAAAAGGACCAAATGGCACAGAGCTCTTTATGTCCATCTTCAGTTCCATTAGCCAGAGTTCAGACCTACAACATGGGTGAGCTGGCCCTTGAGCATAGTGTGAGACTTGGAAGGGAACAATACTGCTGTACAAAAAAAAAAAAAAAAGAAAACCGAGAGTTGAGAGGAAATGTCTGCAATATGGTTTGGAGGGGGAAGAGTATAATTCTAATCACAAGAAAACCTTCTGGCCACCTCTTCAATTTTTGTGTTTCTGTCCTCGATCCCCACCAGCGATTTTTTTGGTCCTCCAATCTTAGTCACCGCTCTTGGCAGAGGGAACACAAACAACCCTATTCAAAAATAAACACAGCAATTTTGTGCGTGTTTACCTTTCATTCTGCCATATCTATCTGTGATTCTGTGCCCCAAACTGTTCTGTTCCATTTCACGCCGCGAGGAAGACCTTGTTTCTTGGCCCACTGTACAGATGAACGGGCTAGATAGTGAGCACCATTATTCTACACAATCATTTCTATCTTGTCCCCTCTTGCTTTCTGTTGTTCTTTTATAGCTGCATGCTGACCTGCTTGAATGCCAAACTGTGAGGTTTTATTGCAGCTGGCAAAGGGATATGTTTATGAAAACACTGTATTTGGTTGCTGTGAAAAGACGGATCTGTATGTTTACGCACATAGAATTCACGTGTACGCGTACACAGCATGACATACACCTATATTAAAGTCTCTCAGGCAAGTATATTAAGAAAACTGTCAACACTTAAGATACATGATAGTAATAATTTGCTGCATTGAACCTAGTTCAAAATACATAAAGCTGTCAAAAACCATGTCATTGCCTATGTTACTATGTTACTAGGAGAGATATTAAACCACAACAGCAATCAAGGTTCAAGGTAGATCCCATTTTCATATATTCTTGCAATTTTTATGTGTGACCCTGTAATGTTGAATAGATTATGTGGCTTATTTAGAAATTAACTCCATAACTTCTGTTTCCCTGTCAGTTACTTTGTACTTATAACCTCCAGAGAACCAGAAATGTTTTCTGTTTCTGGGTTTAGGTGTAAGCATGGAGCGTGACCAGAAAAAAGTCGAGCCCCTTCTGGCATCATTATATTATTTTTCACTCGATATACTGTTTTCTTCCTCCCTGTATGATTGTGTTGGTTCATAAGGTATTGAAAGAAGCCCTTATCCTGACACCAAAGTCTGACATTTACTATTAATTTTGTTGAAAAATGTAAGATATCAAAATCAAATTTTTTTCCTTAACGTAAGGTAAAAGGGAAAATTATCTGAACCACTTTATTTCGAGGTAAACCATAAAGTGAGACCACCTGAAATGTTCATAATAAATCCCTCATTGTAAGAAAACTGTGTGTTATGCACAACTGTCTTCTTCTTCAAAATGTCTTCTCTTCCAAACCAGTTTTCTGATCCTGTTTATCATCCTGTCTGACTTCTTTTCAGTGACTTCACTATGATCTCAGAGGGGGAGAGTCCAACACAAAACAAGACCCAAGTTATAAAAGAACCCCACAGAATTGTCTTTTAATATTATGGCATGCAGAAGCCTGATGTTTCCACCATGTGTACACTCCACCAGACATCATTACAGTGGGTCCTTGTATCCAAATAATAATCCAAAGCTCTAACTTTGTCCGACTAAAACTAAAACTGACACTAAAATAAAGAATAGCAGCTTCTTTCAGTCTAAATTAGTCGGCTATTTTATGAAATTCAGAGAAGGATCCTGTTTCTCACTTTGCTCTCAGTCCAGATCCTCTTGTAAAAAAAAGGGTAGTGAATCTGAAATCTTAATATAAGCCACCCACGGTCCAACAGAGTAGAAAATAAGAGAGAAATCTGATTACTGGCAGGCTGTATGTAAACAAAGGTTTTATAGTAACCATAACCTGCATTCTTCCAGTAACCAGTTTCCTTGTATAGCGTTATCAGATGTTTATATGAAAGAGGTGGTTATAGATGATGTCTGACCTTGGATGGAAACCTTTGGGTGCTCTTTCTTCGTGCACTCCAGTTGTGTCAGCGGGTCAAACAATGACGTGGTCGGGGTCGTCGGGACAGCAGAGTTCTGCGTGAAGACAGCTGGGAAGAGGAGGAGCAGGAAGAGGCCGGCCATAGACGAGGGAGTGGAGTCCTGCGAGGACGCTGTCATGGTGACGACCTCTCCTCTAACTGCCAAGGTGGGCCTCTGGGATATAGCTGGAGAAGAGAAGAGACCACTTCAGCACCTCAATGCAACATTTTTACACCTAGCTTCAAAAGAAAAGAAGCTCACTCTGAGTCACTTCAAAATCATTTCTTTGCTCCAACTTTTCATTCCTGGGGGCTTCCGGCTCTGAATTCAGCATAGAGCAATAGAAAGTGAACAAAACACATAATGCAATAGGTATAAAATTTTGGTAAAAAGTACATAACCGTGGGATGAAAGCGAGGATGTTAGGTAACTAGAGGGTGGCTGGGAAGAAGAGATATAAAGCTGAGTCTACTAAAATATATAGAGGGAGAGATGGAGGGTGTCGAGGACACAGAGTGGAAAAACTGCTCAGAAAACTCTCCAGCAATGAGCCATCTCAAAGAAATACCTAACCTCTGACCTTGAGATAATTATTTAAGATGTGCAATTAAACTTTAGAAGTTCATTTAATGGCTGATTAAAATTAGAAAATTGAATCCAGTATTGGACTGTTCAATGAGGCAGAAAGTTTCCACAAGTCAATGAAGCAGAAAGGAACTCACTTAAAATGTATGCCTCTCTTAGAGATGTGCTGGAAAAATGTTAGCACAACTATTTACAGTGATTCAAGAGACATTATTCTTACTGAACATGTGTGATGCATATCAACACATGAATAATAGTCATTCTCTGACCTCAATATTCAAGTATTATTTAAGCAGACCCCGCCAGCAGACAGAGACAGAGACACACATACACACACAAATCTCCATACACATAACACACATACAGACACTCTCATGCTTCCTGAGTAAATGTAATCTCCTCTAGTAATAACATATGAGTCGACAGTGCTGAGCTGAAACCAGCAGTTCATCATCTCCCGTCCTGCGCTCCTTACGATGTTAGCTTAGCGAGGTGTAATATCATTTAAGTAGATTAAAAACTGAGAGCATCAACTTTCTGCAGCTCTTTGGCTGGGTTACATCTCTCTGTAGTGTTTTCCTCGCAAATGCTTCAATCAATAACAAATTATTAGCTTGGTTGAGTTGCAAATCAACCATATTGCCCTGCAATCAATTATCCCTCTCACTACAGCTGGTAACTAATTAGGCAAATGCACAGAGTGCCTATGTTTGTCATTACAAACAGTGGAGTCAACAGGCCCCGAGCTACTGCCAACAAACATACTGTTGATGGAACAGGTGGAAGTATTCAATGTTCTCTGCAATGCACTTGACTCAGCCAGGCTGGATGTGTCTTAAGTTTTAGAGCCACATTCAGAGTGAAAATAGCACTGCAGTTAAAAATGCAGACGTCTGCATTGGTGTGTCGCTACAGGTACAGGTGAAACAATGAAATACATTCCAGAAAGTCCAGTTCTGGTGATACATCCATCAGTTTCAAGTCTCTGCTCGCTCTCTATCATGCATAGGCTCTTTGTTGTGTCCTTGAATATTTTAAGCCTTAATGCAAGCTGGTGTTTATCCCTTACTGAAAAGCCTGGTGTTCTGATCCTTCTGATCCCCCCAAATATGGGCCCATTTCAATTTAATAACATGTTAGACAAGGCCTTTTAAAGGCATGATCAGGCCATTTCCACACTAATACAGCAAACAAAATGATTTTGTGTTTCAACCATGTATGCACATACGTTCATATACTTTTTAACTATGCCATCCAGACTGAGATATTATTACAACGCAAAAAAAAAAGAAGCATAAATCTCTTCTACAGGGCACACGCAGACCACTTGAGCCAGAAGCTTTACGTCACTCCTGCAGGCAGATGTCTGATTTTCAAAGAGCTGTCTGTTGTTTATAGAGCAAGCATGAATGTTGGAGTGTGCCATTGAGTTGAGACTCTAAAAATGTTTGATGCCATTGATGTCTGCATGGTCTCCCCCTCATGTCGCTGACTCTACCTCCTCTTTTTTGTGTCCCATATTTGTTTTCTAGACCCAATGGTTCTAACTCATACCACTTGGAAACCTCCAGCACTGCATATTTTCTATCTTTTAGTGTTTTACACTGATTCGCTACATTAGTGTATGTGCATTAAGCTTTTGATTGGCCGAACACACCTGATTGAGATATGGGTAGGAAGAAAAGGAAACTCTGCAGTGTTTGAGGTCACATTGTAGTGACCTCAAACACTGTTAGTTTCTTTGAAAAATATAGGAGGTCTCTGATTCTTCCTAGAGACTTGATCCTTGCTATCTTAGTGTCTGAAACATCCCAGTTACCATGTGGGATCTTGTCTCCTATTTGCAGACTCTAATCCAGCCCAACAACCAAGTAAACTGCCTTTTATCCATCTGCCATTTGCTGCTTGTCTGCATTTGGGTTCTGTTACCTGTTACCAAAATCTTGGCAAGATCACATTACGTGTAATCTCTTAGATCACACGAGACTCAAAAGTCGAACTCAGCTTTCTCCATCTACACAGAAAAGCAAGTCTAGACTTTTCTTAATGTTTGGAAGTTCAACATGAGTGACTTATAGAAAAGAAAAAATAATAATTTCAGTCTGGTTTCTATCAGCTGGACAGAACTGAAAATACACTTAAATACAGATGACAGTGAGTGATCTGTATTAGTGCTTCCTGACAAGAGTCCAGTATTTGACACTGTAGATGATTGTGTCCCTATTAGTATATACAGTGGAGAGACAGTGGGTGGAATCCAATGGGCACCAGATTAGACTAGCTCTCATCATATCTGATTTAAAGGAAATGGTCTGAATAGGTTTGGTCCCTCACTTACATGTGATGTGCCTCAAGCTTTAATCCTTGGACCATTTTAATTTTCCTTGCATATGATACGTCATTATCAGAGGCATACCATCATCAATTGATGATGGCTGATGACAGACATCTGTAACTTTGAGACTATATATTTGGAATACATGGTCATTTCTATTCAAGCAAAGTGAAATTAATACAATTCAATCTGCACAGCTGATGAGCTGATGTCAAGGTCTGGGCATCTAACAATTTTCTACAAATAAATTCTAACATTCATTTAGCCTTTGATCATTTGATTTGGTTCTCAATTTTGATTGAAAAGCTCTTCAGTCATATTTTTTTTATTGACCCTCCACTTAGTGAAGCACAGCAACTTCTGTTGTTCAAAATGTTTCAGCAATGTTTTATTTAATTAAAAAAAAAAAAAAAAATAGGACCATATGTTCCCAACTTTAGCATCTCCTGATTGGTTGTCTTGTTTGTTTCAGAATTAATTTGAATACATTACTGATTACTTTTGAGGCTTTGCACAGACTGGTGCCAAGTTATCTTTCTAAAATCTTAGTTTCCTTATTTGTCATATTCTGGGTTTTTTTCTGGCAAAATAAGTGTGTTCATCAATTAAGGCAAACTATCACAGTAATGCAAGTCCAGTACTGCCACAAAGCCATATTATACAACCAGAGATATTAAAGAGAGAGCTAACTCGGTATAAATGGTATAGAGAATCAGTCCTTCAGCTGACTCTTTATTTTTCTGACATTTTCACTTTCATTAAGTTCCTGACAGTAGAGAGTGACATGAAACATGGGGAAGGAGACAGTAGAGGATGACATACGATTCAGGTTCCTGTGTGAAATCAATCCAAGAACATTATGCTTACCGAGTTTGAGTTTCCCCACTAAGACACCCCCATTTCTTTACTTCTATCATCTGCAGGAGTGGAGTTGGCAGGTGCTTAATTCACATTAAATCACTGAGTCCTGAAAGTCAAAGGCTGACTCTACAAATCCTCTCATTAGTCTAAAAGCTGCACTGAGAACAGGCAGAGCAGGAGATCATGACAGATGACCAGGACTCTGCTGTAAGTTTAGACTTCGGTGGATGAGTTATCTTGGCATGGACACACAGAGGGAACTGTATTGGCAGCAGGAGGATGAGTTTAGTGTGTGGATGTCAAAAATGTCTGTAGAAAGTCATGTCATACACTCAAGCAAACCCAGATGTGCACGCACGCACGCACGCACACACGCACGCACGCACACACACGCACACACGCACACACACACACAAAATCAGCTCTGAAAACTGGCAAAATCCAGCTATGGACAGCTGGTCACACTCCATATTGGGTCACAGCGAGTGGGCAGAACTGACACATGCTGTGTGCCAACATCCACTCCTGAGTGTGTGTGTATATGTGTGTACTTGTTTGCAAGTGTGTTTGTTTATACCAAGCATGGCTCTTCAAGGCCACTCAGAAGAAGTCTGATAGAGCCCATGCAATTTCCCGTCCTGCTGTGTTCTGGATTAGCAACAGTTTTCCACCAAGGAAACAGGACAATCCATACCATTGGGTGAGTGGTCTCCATAAACACATCACACACATGCACATACACACAGTGGATGCTTTAAAAAAAAAACTCACTGGGCCACTGTTTGCCTGTCAGTCAGTCATTCAGACATCCTGCTGGATACAATGAGTCGATTAAAGGTGTACTATATGCTGAGGATTTACAGGCAACTTGTGTGGATTAGACTGATGAGTTGTCCAGGCACGTCTCTTTGTCAATAACTTTGTGATCAGTGGGGAGACAGATGTAGCCTACTACCTTAATGCTGTGGAAATTGTGTTTGCAGAGAAGGAAGAAATGTTTCAGTTCCTTTAAAAAACACGACAACATATAAAAAATACTCCAATTTATTCCATACAGCCAATCAAATCGTTTCATACTCTACCATATTAGCAGTAACGTCACCGCTCTATCATAGGCATACACAACCCAAGAGCCACAGACTTTCACCAACAGTCCTCCTTGTTATCTCACTTACAAACATGAACACATCTTGTCCTGCACCTTACTTGTTCACAGGGGAAAAGTGCACTGCTAGTTTGCAGGCTAGATAGTTAATTATTTTCTCAGCTGCAGGCCAATAAACAGCATTTAAACTATACTTGCGTCACTTTTGGTTCTTCCCTTTAGATAATGCTGTGCTCCTTACTCTTAAGTACCACTGTTAAAAACCCACTGTCTGCCCATGGAGCTCAGACTGCCAGCTG